AAGAAAGTGATGGAAAAAAAGTTCTATTATAATGGTTAACCATCTTTTATTATATATTTCAGCTATTGAACCTTCTTCTGAAACTGTGAAGAAGCCTTCATCAACTTTATCATTTGATTCAGAAGAACATAAAATCCACAAATACTTTCATTACTGTCTGTTGGAAATAATAAAATTTTTTCCTGTAACACAAGGTACTTTTTTCTTTCGTTCGTACTTTAAATGGGATGTAACTATTCTGAAAGTTAACTTATTACAATGCAAGTAAAAAAAAAACATTCCCTTAGAAGATAAGTACAAGAATATATTTGGAAAAAATAAATAAATATAACACTTAAACCAGACAAAAGTCTAAACCAGGAGATAGTCTGAAGCTTTCATTTACTCTGAAATATATGTCAGAATCACAAAGGAAAAAAAATCAATTTCAACAATTTTATTTGTTGAAAATTAAGAAATAGAAAAATATATTTTATTAAATGAAGTGGGTGAAGAATTTCACTATTATTGGAAAACAAATGTTCTACACAAAAACAAATATGACACCCATTTTGCGAGGAAGATTACTTACCTTATGCATAACAGACATAGGTATGTGGTATATGTCTTCTAAAATACATTTTGTTTACTACCTTGCATAAAGTGGCAACCTTCTTACCTAAGCGTACTTTTGCAATGTATGTATGTCACTCATCTGCAGTGGGTTAAATTACAATAAAACCCAGACATATGTAAACGTACAGTTAATGCAGGGACAAAAAAACAAAAAGCTGTAGTGCTGAAAATAAAAATTAATTCATGGCTAGTTTAAATAACTTTTATCACCATTTGTGTTCATCAGGGACATATCCCGAATTTTCCCAAAAAGCATGCTGCTTAAAACCACATTAAGAAAAAGTTTTAGAGTTAACATTATATATATATTTCAAAGTCGGCTCTATTTTTTTTCATGTTACTTTGCGAAATATTGCACTGCATGTAATGTAATGAAATGATAAAAATTTTAAAGCTCATTAGTCGTAAGAAAAGTGAAAATTTTTATGAAATTTTAAAATTAGTTAAGATTGTTAAACAATTTATCTCATAGTCATAATTAAGTTTTCCTTAATTTATGAGAACCAGATTATAGAATGCATCCATGTATATTTATTCATTCAAACACATTAATTAGTTACTGATTTGCTTTAGTGACAAAAAAGGTTGTTTCACTCATAATATTTTTAATACTGCTGGTGTTTTTACATGGCATTAATTCATTAACAGACTCATCTTTTATCAGAGAGAAAAATAAAAACAAAACATATATTTTATAATAGAGATTAGTGCTTTTATGTAATGAATTTTTCCAAGTCCAAATTTCTCTAAATTTTATCAAGTAAAATTTTTGGAAAATTACAGTTGAAAATAATGTGGTGTCTGAAAGATCCAAATTTTTTTTTTCGTACTCCCAACAAGATGGTTAATAGTTGGATAATTACTTAACAGAGCTTGACCATCTACATGTGATTCTGGTGAACTAAAATAAGGGCTAATCAGAGATCAATAAGTTCTGGATCTAGAGAGAAATCTCTACTGGAATATGTATTGATGGAATTAGGACTGACATTAAAGAAAGCAATAGACCAGTTTGAGACAGTAACATCTGCTTCACAAGTCCATAAAATCAAGAAAATTAGTGTAAAACATTCAAAATGAACGGTATGAGTGATAATGATATCACATTATCATTTCAGTATAAAAAGTAGGATTGTCGGAAAACTGCGAGCTAACTGCAAAGTCAAGAATAATTTTGCAACTGTTTATAAAACTATGGAAAACAACAGTTTTTGAAAGGTAAATAATATTGATAGTGATAAGCAAAATGTCTATTTATATAATTTGATAAAAATTAATTCATTAGATAATGTATAATGTATGGTTAAAAAGAGTTGATGATGACAATAATGTAACTGAATTCAAATTTGAAGCAAAAGTCAAAGCTCATATGTTGCAATATCTGTATATAAGAGCGTAACATTACTATCATATGATAATTTTATGTTAAAATTAGAAGTTGAAATGTTATTGAATTGCAGTGTTAATTATTATATTCTATTAAAATTTACTGTTGTTAATATATCTTTCAAAACAATCTTAGGATTAAAAGCTTGTGAAAAGTTGATTTAGTAAGAAAAATCGATCAGATTCATTCACTAACAATGATATCAATAAGGCATATAGTGACATTTTTCAAGGTTTAGGTAAGTGTCCTGGTGATCCTTCTCATAATAATTCTGAAATTATAGTCCTGTCATTCGGTTCAATCCTGTGTTAAAACTGTTTGTTTATTGCGACAAAATCTGGCCCCAAGTAATATACAGAAAATTCCAGATGATATAGCTTAAAACAATGCTTTAAAATAAAAATACCTAAAAGAAAATAATTACTTTTATATACAATCAGTACTTCTTTTTAATGGATCCAAGATTGTGGTATTTATTTCTCATCTCTGAGAAGTAATATATTACCTTTGATCCATAAAGGGCATTTTGGTGTTTAAAAAAGGAAAATACAAGACAAGGGAGATTGTACTGGTCAGATATGTCTAAAACTATTGAGGCTATGATTTTGCTATGTGAAATTTGTCAGAAGTTTCAAAGAGACTATATTTAAAAGAAACAATTCCATAAAGGCCACATAAAATGGCCATAAGAGACTATATTAAAAAGAAACAATTCCATAAAGGCCACATAAAATGTAGGTAGGAACAGTTCCATAAAGGCCACATAAAATGTAGGTACTGATAATCATGGAATGCATATATGCCAATTTATTTAGTTAAAGTGTGTTAGTATTCTAAGTAGACTGAGATTCAAAGACTAAATAATAAAACAGTAACAGAAGATTAAAGATTTGCTTCTGTAAACATGGAGTACCTTCTGTAATCATAAGTGATGATGTTCCATTTAATAGCTTCAAATATAAGGCCTTTACCAAGGATTGGGATTTTGAGTGTCTTTTAAGTCCACGATAGCCTAAGAATAATAGAATTTATTATAGAAAAAGCAGTAGGGATAGTAAAAGCCATGTTCAGGAAAGATCTTCGCGTACATAATAAATTATTAAATGTACAAATCCTTAAAATTTAGAAGCTAAAGGAAGATTAATTATTTTAGTATGCAGCAATTCAGCTGGAACTTACAAATGTAAACCAATGGTAGTGGGTAAGAGCACAAACACAGAGCTCTGAAAATAATGCAATCCTTTTACAGGAATAATAAAAATTTCTCGTTCACAAAACAGTTTACGACCAAATGGTTCAAGGAACATTTCATTAAAGAGGCTAGGAGGCATTGTAACAGTGTGAGGTTACCATCAGTTTGCAAGATTTTACTATGGTTAGACAAGTGCACTACATAACCATTTTAAAGTGTGATAATGTTGTGGCCCCTTTTTAGCCCCTAAATGTTACATCATTGTTCCAACCAATGGACCAGCACATACTACACAGTATTAAATGCAATTACAAATGAGTTTCTGAAAAAAATTCTTTCAAGAGACCATTCTGTTTCACTTATAAATTATATATTATAAAAATAATTTACGATCAAAGACTGCATCTATTTCTTAGCAAAGTTCTGGAATTTTGTTTCCCAAACATCGGTAAATGGCTGGTGCAATATATGGCCATCTTCTCTGTTTATTGAATATAAGAGGTATAACAGCAAATTTTCTAGTTTTAGGGGCAAAAATTCCGATATCGACACAAATAATGAATTTGATAGGAGTGAGAAAATATCTTTTAATAAGGGTTTGGAACTTCATGAAAAATACCTAAAATTTTTAGAACAGAGCTGTGTTATAAAGCAAAGATTATTATTCTATATAATTTTTTTAAAAAACTTACTCTGGAGCATCTTGAAGCTTCAGAATAAACCTCTATCAGAAAAGTGAAAAAAATTAAATAAAATATTTTGTTTTATTAATATCCCTTATTTTCATGTCTATTGCACATGTACTTAATGTTTACATATGTCCTTTATTGTATATGTTCTCATTTATTTTTGTACTTTTAATCTAAATATTATGATTTATCTTTTCTATCCTGAAATCCACACAAGCTCTGGTCCCAAGCATTGGGGATTTTTTATCTTCTACTGTACTTGCAAATTCTGTTGTTAGAATCCAGTCCATCATGAGAAGCAGAAACAGTTCCATACAGAGAGGGTATTGGATCACCCATGTTCTTTGTCATCATTAAATATCTAGATACAGCTTTTGCTAACAGATTTCAAGCCAGTCCAGGCCAAATTATACATTTTCAAATACCTAGAAACTAGATCATACAGATCTGGAGACTACTTATGTGTTTAAGCTTAGTAAAGATCCAGTAGCCTGGTATAAGCAGAAGAAATAAACTGTTTTTACCTCCACACTGCAACATTGCAGCGAAAGAAATACTGTGGCTGTGCAAATTCTACAAGATGCATGTGAAAGTGAAATGTGTGAAGAGGATATTCTTCTCTTTATTGATAATCAGAATGTTATTAACCCTCTGAGTGCACAGGATTTTAGATCCATCATGAATATCAGTGCTACTGCTTTATTCGTAAAAAACGTAATAACAAATGTCATTATAAAATACATGCATAGTTAGCTGGTATCTTTATAAAACCTCTTCCAAAACTAAATTTAGGAAAATTGCTTAACCTAAAAGATGGAACTGTCATCTGAATCTTTAATAATTGCATTATTTAATATTTGTTAATATATTAAATATGTCTAATATAATTTTTAAGAGTTTTCTCATTATATTAGTTGTTCATTTTTTGTAATCCAGTTGACTATAAATTGTAGTGAAACAGAACTGGAGAAAGTATTAAATCCTTAAATTTGTTGTTATAATATGCTATTATTATTTAGTATCTAATTTTTATCTTATACTGCCTGGACTCTTGTTTTATTTTTTATGTGGTTTAGGAATCTTCCAATGATGCATGTCACTAATAATGAATAGTCTATTCCACTTTAAGTATAAGATATTTAATTAAAAAGTCCTGATAGAAGTAATATTCATTGCTAATAAAGAAGGCAGTCCTTCATTTTAGCCTCCAGTATCACTTAGTTTTATATAGAATGGAATACTTGTCTAGTGACCACTGAGAGATTCTTAAAAAGCAACTAATGAGAGATTCTTGCACTCATGACACTTGGAAATAATAGGTGATATTCCAATATCATCCAACTGTCTTTTGATTCTTTGTACAGACACTGCTGATCTCCTGGGGTTAATATGTGATGTCCAAATTCACTGCATTAGAGTAAGGATCACATGTCACTTTTCCAATTTCTTAACACATAAATTTGTTTCTAGCCATTGCTTACTATTATTCAATTTCAGCAATATTCTCACAATCATTGCGACGCACAACATCAAACAGTGCTGACATTTTGGTTTAAATTCATAATGATCTGCAAAAGAAATAAGCCAACATCTCCTAGTTCAAAGATTTTGTCCCTTTCCACTTGCACCAGGTGATGAGAAATGACACACTCATAAACTAAAGATTTTTTTTTTACCGTCAAATTAAAAGTCCCAAAGTCTAGTGTGGCAGTAAAAATATTTGTTCATGCTTGTATACAGTTTAATCTCCTCTCGCATGTCACTGATTGAGGTTAGGGGATTAAAAATTTCTGTACTCTTCTGTTATCGGGATTGGACTGAGAAAAGTATGTATGTATGTATATGTGTTTGTGTATACACACATACATACGTATGTATGTATATATGTACATGCATAGATGTATACATACATCCATACATATCTGCATGCATGCATATCTGAATCCAGTCCCGATAACAGAAGAATACCAAAATTTCATTTTTTGCATATCTTGGTTAGACCTATTACTCCCAATTTGCATAAACTTACAGCTTTTTCTTCAGTTTCAATCTTGAATACTGCAAAAAAACATTCTTTCTCCTCCTCGAAGTTTAATATGCCAGTTTTAAATGCAGATTCACAGAACATAACTTGATACTCTTCTATTATCAGGACCAGATTCAGAAATGTATGTATGTTTGTACTTGTCTATGTATGTATGTGCATAGATATAGTGCATGTGTGTATATATATAGACACATACGCAGTGCTGATCCTAGACCATGGGCTATCCATATGCAAATTAAAATTGGTCACCCTTTTTTACAGAAATATAATGTGTTTGATAATCATTTCACCACTCTTAAATTTGGTTGCCCACATGCTGTGCACCATCTTGCCCCCTGCTAGGATCGCCCTGCATATACATAATTAGGTACACATATATTTGCACACATGAACACATACGTTTAGACATGCATACATACATTTCTGAATCTAGTCCTCATAACTTCTATTACAGGTATTTGAAAATCAATTTTGTACCAGAATCAATCAATATCAGAAATTTGCTGATTAAAGAGTTACAGATAATTTAAATTATTATACTTCAGAATTTGCTGAAACAAAATATTCTTTCACAGCTTCTCTGATATTTTCAGCTTGAGGACCAATAACTGTATTACAAGGAAATGGAATTGGCTGTTTATAATGTTGTTCTGCTTTAACAATCCATTCATCAAACATCATTTCTTTGTTTATTTCACACATATTATGAAGTATACAACAAGCTGTAATAACCATGGGAAAAACTTCTATGCTGCAGATGTTACCGATAACTAGACAGTTCCAACGAGCTTTAAGACGCTTGAAGGCTATTTCAGAAGCATTATATGCAAAGGTAAATTTTTCATTAAATATTTTCTCCTTTTCTGATTCTGATTCATTTAAGAATGGCCTTATGACCCAGTGTGAAAGCGGATATGACGAACCAGCTAGAATAAATACAGGTATATCAACATTAGCAATCTGTCTAGAATAATCTGGGAAAAGATTTCTGTCTTGACCTTTTAGCCAGATTGTGGAACTAGTGAGAACTCTAGATTCTGGTACACTTCCAGGCCACCCAGCATTAATGTCCCAAAATTTGTAAGATGCATCGACTATCCCTTGCAGTATCATTGAATGCCCACTATCACTATTTATGTAATCTGAAGCATTTTCAGGCAAATTTGACGTTCGAAGTGGAATATGAATACTACCGAGTACTCCAGCACATTGAGGAAAACCCCATTTCTGTTCAAATTCCTTTATATTTTCTTTAATAGTAGAACTATCTGGCACTTTCAAATAGTGTGGCATTAGCTTCATGATAGCTTGACTCACTTTTTCGATAATTACAGAAACATCTGACTTCGGAACAGCAAATAAGTGTCCTATGTATTTATTGCTCTTTCCAAATGCAAATGAAATTAGTGTGATCGCCACTTGTTTTTCTAATGGCATGTTATTTACACATCCTGAATTTAAATGCGGTACCAGTCTATCGACTAAGCGAGTAAAAGTTTCTTTACCCATTCTAAAATATTTCAACCACTGATTTTCGGAGAATTTATTCTTAACATTTTCCCACCACATTGGTGAATTTCGGTTTATTTGAAATGCATACGCTTCAGTCAGGGTTTTTACTAAGAAGAATCTCTCACTCGATACGCGTGAGTATGATTTTCTGATTTCGTACATTCTTCGAAGACGCGATTTTCGATCGTTGATTAAAGATAAATATTTTCGACGTCCATGATGTTTTTTCCGGGAAGTCCAGAGTTTGTACATCAAAACTGAGAGTTTCAAAGTTCGATTAACCATTGTTTGCACTTTCACTTAAAGCAAAATCTAAAACAGACCAGCATTATTTTCGTTATACGACGGTATTTGTAATCATAACTCTTGATCGGAATTCGTTGTTGACAGGTTATCTTCACGAGAAAAAAGGGGGAAAAAATGGGAGGAGTTACGAGATTCTCTGGTTGCATGAAAAGCTAATAACTTTCCGCCAAGTACTTTGGCTCATGGCTCATTCTTATTTCTGGAACTGTGCTTGAAGAGTGGCGTCTTTTTGATCCGTAAGTATGCTATAATTCTCCCATAAATTTTTAATATTTTTAATACGTTTTTCCAAATTTACACATTTTGCCTGATTAATTTGAAGTTGTTTGTTTTAGATGTGCGCAATAGCAATATTGGCAAATTTCAGGTTTTTCGTAATATAACCAAGTTTTTTTATTTCTCTGGTAAGTGTTTGCTTTATATCTTACATTTATTATAAAATATGAAAAGTAATTTTTGCATGTGTATATTTTTTCATGCCAATTTTCTGTTTTATGTGCTGGTAGATTCCTGGCCGATTACCGTGTTTTTAGATAAATGCGCCATTTTCATTTAGCTCGTGTAGAGATTACTGTTTCCATTTTTTTAAGTAACCACGAAATTTCTTACACATGTAAAAGCTTTACTAGTAAACTTTTGATTGGGGATATTTCAAGTAAATGTGACATTATTACTGAATTTGTGTAGAAGTTGCTCTTGGGGTATGAACACCTTTTTTTAGCCAATATTGTTTATTAGTTTATTGGTTAAATGGTAGTTTGCAGTTATTCATTTATTTGACAGATGTTAATGCTGTGTTGAAAATCATTAGAACCAGATGTAAGAGCTTGGCCTAGCAATTGTAAAAAATACCCTCTCTTATTACTAATCATATTGTAGGATAAAATCTGCTGTTTATGTATGAAGATTTTTACTTTATCTCTGATTATGTGGTATATGCCCAGAATTTCATTATTAATGTTCGATTCATTAAAAATACTATTTTTAATTGTCTACTTTGTTGTGTACTGCTGCTGTTCATTCTGCATTTTTTTTTAGTAGATATAAAAATTCTTGTCTTTTCTTTTTTTTTTTCCCCTCCATGTCTCTTTTTATTAGGCTGGTAAATTTCTGACTGAACTCATTTCAAGACTGTGTATCGACTATGCAAAAACTTTTCCGCCGAGCACGGTTGAATGTTGAGTATTTTAAAGAGGCAGGAATACAGACGAACAATTGGAAGGGGAGAACAAAATCTATGAGTCCGGAGAGATCAAAACAGTGGGCATTATACTGAATTATATATATGCTAGGATAAAAGTCTGCGACGACGTGTGAAAAAAAGGAGAAATCGAATGGACGCAATTAGATTCAAGAAAATGTTGCCCATTTCTGTGTGTAGCTAGTTCGTTGTTGCTGTTCTCATGGGCCGTTCTTTTGAATTGTATCAGTTTGAAAATTTTTCATACATGTATATTTTTTCTCATCCATTTTGGATTGGTAAAAATTTCTGATCTTAATACTGAATTTATTATATTCTAGGATAAAGTCTGCTTTTTACGTGTGAAAATTTTATTTTATCTGATTATGCCAAATTTGATGATTCAAGAAAAATGCCATTTTGTGTGTAGCTAGTTCGTTGTTGCTGTTCGTCATGCAGTTCTTTTGAATATGTCAGTTTGAAAATTATTCATACATGTGATTTTCTCATCCATTTTGCTGTGCACTTTTCCTGTGAATATTATTTTTATTTAGTCTATATAGAATTCCTCTTTGTATTTTTTTGAATAAGTATGATAATTAGTTCTTGTTTTGTGTTATTTAAATGCCCAACAATTCACTTTCGAATGTTTGTTAATTATAGAAGCTAATTTTACTTTCTGCTTGCAGTTTTTAACTCTGTACCTTTTATCCAGACATAAATAACATCTGCCTTTTCATTTCTAAACTTAAAATATCGCAGTCGGGAAAAGGTTTCAATTTGAAAGGTAGTGGCTTTTCTAATTGCAAGAATTTCTCTTCAGAATTATAATTAACATAAGCTGTGCATTCTCTGCTGAGTATTTCATTTCTCGAAAAAGTCTAGTAGACCTTTTAAATCGCAATTTTAATCTTAAATTTTTTGGATATAATTAAGAACGAATTCATTTGGAAGCAATTTAAAAAATAAAGGCATTAAAATATTTCTGTATAAATCAGTATATTTTTAATGTTGCCGTGCAGCGTAAAAGCATCTCTACTTTCTCCCAGAAGTCTTGCTATTTTTCAGATTTCAAGGTTGACTTCTGTGCCTTGTTTTGCAGGTTAACATGTTTTATTTGATTGCATAGAAGTTAACTTTTCGTAAAAAGGCCTTAATTATAGTATCATTATTGGTAAATTCAAGGCTTAAACAGATTGGTGAAATGTTGACCTTAACTACTGAATTCTGCTAATTATATGGGATATGTCCATAATTTAAATTTTCTCCTAGTAAATCGATCAGTTGGAACAAAATGTGAAATGAATTTATTAAAGAGTATGTCATTTGCTGTATTCATAAATTTCCAGCCATGCATATCATTTTTAATAATTATTTATTTTTAGGATAAAAAAAAAGTAGTAGCAGATGGTCCTACCAATTTGAATAAATATGGAATTTAGTTTTTAATAGTTTTATTTATTTCATGTAATTTATGATATTAAAGTATAAAGGCTATGCTCGTGGATTTTCTAGTAAAGGCAAGTTTCCAATCAATAGCAGTTTTTAGTGGTTGAGCTATGTATCCAGCATTTTTTTACTATGAAGACTAATCATACTAAAAAAATTTGAGCATTTTTTTCAAGTAAAAATTAGTATGTTATAGCTGTGCCAGTATCATTCTGCATAATGACAAAAGTTCATTAAATATGTTAGTGACATTTAAGTGTTGGTTTTGATTATCATGCAATACTGAAACTAAATTCAGAATTTCATTATTGACAAAAAAAATTTTTTTTTTTAATTCTGGGTATGAATGTCTGAGCATGTGTGTAAATTTTAAGTCATAAGAAACGAAATTAATTTGTTAAATTTGTTCTTTCATTTCATTTGATTAATTCGTTAAACTTGCTGTTATCTGTGAAAAATTTTCCTATTGAACTTTACCTTTCATTTTAGTGGCACAGGTGATAATAGATTTTTAACCCCCCAAAAATGAAAATTTCCAAGTGTGGCTATAGAGAGTATGCTCAAGTTCATAAAATAACTTAGTTTTTCTTTATCATCACCTTTCTGTTCGAGAAGCTTTTCTGCAGCATACAGTGACCACCACCCCTTTTCTATTATAAGAATACAGTCAGAAGTCTTTAATCTGGACGTCCATAATCCGGAATGATCTATAATCTGGACCTCAAAGCTACAAACTTTCTGCGCATGCTCGTTTAATGTATAACGGACGGTATAAGCTAAGCTAAAATTATCTATTCAGTTAATGTTGCAGATTGCGTTGTTCCTTAATCTTCTAATTGGATCCGGCTTATTTTTTTTTTTTTTGCGGACTGTTGGAGCAATTTTATAAAAGTAAGCTTGAACTTTAGATTATGTCAAAAAGAATTTCCGATTCTGGAGCTGCCAAAGGATCTACAAAGCGAAAGCATGTTTTGATGTCCATCAAACAAAAAGTGGAATTGCTGCAAAAAATGTATAAAGGCATATCCTTTGTTTCTCTAACCTTTCCAAAATCTGTTTATCAATTTTACACTGCTCTGCGGGGGGAGGAACATCACGGCGCACAATGAACTGGAAGTTGATCTGTCAGCACTATCCTTATATTCAGGGCAGATGTTTTTATTTTATTCGGCTTATAATTCCTTGCTAAATGTAGTATTTCATCTCAATGTACTCCGTTTTTGATATGATTTAAATCAAATTTCTCTTCATTATATTACGGATACACATCAAATAGTTTTCTGATTGCAATTTTCTAATTTCGACTATGCGTAATGTATTCTTTACGCATGCATGCGTTTGAAAGAAATGTTTAATAAAGTAAACAAATAAATATTAAGTTTTTTTTGTATATTTTGATATCCCTTTAGATCATAATTGCTCTTTATTTCATAAATTATGTTTTCAAATTTTAATTTTATGTTTTCTTCATGCCATCTTACCAGATTTAAATTGATGATCTGTAATCGGAATCCGGAAGTCCCAACGAGTCCGGATTAAAGACTTTTGAGTGTAGTAATTTTAGAAAATTTATCTGCAATGTCTCCTGTGGACTTTCATTTAATAGATAACTAAAGCCAGTATGGAAATTAGGACATTTTGATATTGAAGAATAATTCATTGCATTGCTGCCTACTCTCCTTTTTTTAATTTTTAGTCTTAACAAAGGAAAATGTTTCTCAGAAATAAATGGAATGTATTTAATTAAACTTAAATTAGGCAAATTCCATTCCCTCAATCTCTAATGATTTTCAGAATTTTTAAATTCTATTTCATTTGAATTGTACTTTTTTTTTGTTACATTTTATTAAATTTTTCATTTGGTCAGAGTTGTCTTAATCTGTAGTCATTTCTAAATTTTTATATGAAGATTTAAAAATGGAATTAGCCAAAGAATATAAGAATTAAATGTTAATATATTTTACAACAGAATTGAATTTCAAATAGTTCAATAATCTAGTCCATGTAAATTTGAACTGAATTTTAATTTGATTTTTCTATTAATTCATTACATTTATTTAGGCGCCTAGAATGTGAACATGGTAAATAAAATGGCAAGTACCCATTCCTCAGTATATTTTGGTGGGAAAAAACTTCTGAAATTTATGTTCAGTTTGTAGTAATATTATTCAGTTAACTTCATATTTGTTTAGGAATTTCACAGGGTGGGTGATCTTCTGTGCAAGATACTGAGAAAATTTTGATATTCTTTTATGCTAAGAATAATTTCAAGAATTAATAAATTTCAGTTTTTTTATATGATAGACTGATTATTCAAAGTAATATACACCAAGGTCACCTTGGATGATCAAGAGCTTGTATCATACATGCATATTAACTGTTATAGGATAGCTATGGACTTTGGTCCTTCAAATTGTTTTATTAATATATATACAGTATTCAAAGAAC